TCTTCTGGGCGGAGGGCAGTTCAAGTACTGGGCTCATTCTGTGCCCTTTTCTAAGTCTGACAGCAAGGGCTGGTGCTGAGTAGGTCAGAAATGAAAGCCCGAAAGATAGAAGAAAGAAAATGTATCGTTCATTTCGCACAGGCTGCCATTAGGTCGCGTTTCTCTTGGGTCAGTGTGGGTTTGGATCCTTGGTCTCGAGGTGGAAGACTCCATGAATCTATTAAGAATCTCCTGAGCCATCAAATCCCACCTCTTAGGGGATTATTCACATTCCAGAACTCAAAATTATGTCCATTTTGGAAACATACAGATATCCTTTGCTGAATGGCTCCACTCCTCTATTCTCTTTCCTTTCTCCTGACGCTTACTTTGAAGTGAATAATGCAAAGTAGCACTTGAGGCAGTGAAAAGAGGACCCCGTTACCCCATAACCCCATAACCTAGAGTGCTTAATACACCCACAAAACTCCCTTTCCTTTTTATTGCCCCAAATCCATAAAGACTGCTTTTCAAAGGGAGGTAGTAAAAGTACCACGCTTCAGCAGGTTCCAATTAAAGAAGGCCTAATCCAAAGCGCACTGATGTTAATAAGAGACTTTTTGTCACTTTGCTATTGGGGCTTGGACCAAACACCAGTGTCAGAAATAGTATCTGTAACACGTGCAGATGTTTTAACGCAGTCACTGCTGCAGGAGTGCCGGGAGCCTTCCTGCGCCATTATCAGTTCTACTGATCATTCAGCTCTCCCCAACAGCCTCAAAGGGAAATTGCCAATGTATCTTTTTTTCACAACTAAAATGCTAGGTTCAGAAGTAAATTCTGATAAACACGTATTTGTTTTTTTAATCTGGAAAGATATTTTTAAAGATTATTTCCGTTTCCGGCAAATGTTCCTTTTTCTCAGGAAAGCAGTTAAAAAAGACGCTGTATTCAGACCAAAAAAAAGCCAAATCCCTGGATTTATTTTTAGATCTATTTATCAGGTGATAGAAAGACACCTTGAAAGTCAAAATTCTTTTCATTTAGTGAAATCTGGACAAAGCTTTTGAATATTCATTGTAAATACACAAACCTTTTAGGACCTTTTCAGCCCTACTCCTACTATGCCTTGACATTAGTTTACGTCTATGGAGAATGTGGAAGCTTATAAACAGATCAGCTCTCAGAGACTGTTTTTATTTCCAGTAATAAACACAGTTGGCAGCATGACCACATTTAGCATCAGATGAGCATGCCTTTTATGTTCTTTGAATATAATATGACTTTGTTTATTTTTCCAGCCTTTTGCAAAATGTTTTATTCCATAGATCAGTGACTGTCATAACATATGACTCAAGACTGAAATTTCCCCCGCATCATCTGGGAGAAGCGGCTCAAAGATGACTGCATTTTCATTTTACTTGACACTCCAGCCACTGTTCAATGCAGCATAAAGCCTCCTTGACATGGTTCTGCCCTGAAGAGATCCCTCCTTTGTGATCATCAATGCTGGTGGGAGGTAGTTCTCTTAGACCTTGCCTATTGCTATGCTAAGAGTCCACCTGTACTTGCATAGTACAAAACAGCTTTTATAAAGCTTCCTTACCACTTGGGAGAGTTAAATCGGATCTCAAAGTCTCCTTTGTAGACCAAGGAAGAAAATCAACGACTATTTTTTCCAAGGACCAGAAATTAAGCTACCCATTTCAATGGAAGGTCCAGCAGGAGCCCCCTTTACGCTTTCCTCTCTCAGGGCTTCTGAACACTGCTGCAATTAAGTAGATAGCAATAATACCATTTTCACTAGAAAGGCTTTTTCAACATCAGTTAAGAAACCCAAACTCATCAGAGACCAGTTGCCGCTGGCTAACCTTTGCCCCTTGAGCCCATGCACTAGCCTGAAGCCTGAGGTGGCCATGCCGGTCACTGCAAGTGATGAGCCGTGGAAGAGGGATGAGCCCTTGCTGGGGGCCGGCCTCGGCCGTCAGCCTGCCCCGTGCTCCACTCCTGGGGGCACGGGAGCCCCTGCACAAGCCCCCTGCCGTCGCCCAAACTGGTGGTGCAAGGGAGTTGAGGCAAAGGGAGAGATGGGGAAATTCGCTCACTGAGTTGCCTCACTCCTGAGCAACACTTAAGTCACAGGCTTGTCTATGAGTGAGATGTAAATAAATAACATTTCCTCCCAAATTAGCCAGAGAAGAATAAACATTTTAAGACCTTGTGGCTGGTCTAAGAGAGAATGAGAGGCCTTGCTATACATCTGAAGAATTAAATTGTCTTAATTGCATCCTTGTGCAAATAAATCATTACATACAGAAGAAAAATATTTTTAAGAGGATGGAAAAATCCACTGGTTTAAAGGAATACTACTGTCAAGTTAAATGTGTCCCTACATTTATGTGGTGCAAAAACAAGCTTTAATAATACTGAAGAGTCTAATAGGAACATTTCCATGAATTTAAAAATAACAACAATGGAAACAGACTTATAAAACAAGTAAACCTCTTCCTTCAATATTTGCAACTTAAATATTGCAGTATTAATTTAGGGCCTGGGAATCTGAAAGTAACTACAAGATATTAATTAAGTAAGTAAGTGTTTTGTTCTACAATAGGAGAGGCCAGGTTTTAAATTCCTGGTGTAGCCATGGCTCCTGTCATCTTGGTACCACTGCCGGGATGCAGAATTTAGCCCAGCTACAGACCAGTGAAGACTATGGAGAAATTACCTGGTATGATAGCAACCCACCAGTTTCCAGTGGCCCATAGTACATACACAGAGGGATACCTGGCTTTCAAGGAAGGCTTCTTTGGCATGAGACTTCATAGCTACTCCAGGCTGTTTTCTTAATCATTAAAAATGCTCTAAGTGTATTAGTTATGGATAACCTGACATTGGTCTTACAAATGAAGAACACAAAACACAAAGTTCACCCAAAGCAGAAGGTACCAGGGCCCTGTGAGTGTGCCCATGACTCTGCTTTACTGCCCAGAGTGGTTGCCTTCTTGGAGCACTGCCTTCACACAGGGTTAACTGGGGACAACTCCCTTGGAGATCAGTCTGTGTTAAGACTTGGTCCATGTATCAGAGAACCACAGAATCATTAAGGTTGGAAAAGACCTTTAAGATCATCAAGTCCAACCATCAACCCAACACCACCATGCCCACTAAACCATATCCTGAAGTGCCACGTCTACACGTTTTTTGAACACTTCCAGTGATGGTGACTCCACCACCTCCCTGGGCAGCCTGTTCCAATGCTTGACCAAAAGGAGATAGGAGAGTTAGGTAGGAGATAGATCCTGTACACCTGCTCTAGGATGGTTTTCAATCAAAAAGATACTTGTTGGCATTAAAGCATTATGAAACAGAAAAACAAATAAATCCCAAAGCCTAAATTGATTTACATTGTTTATTTGGGACTTGTCAATAGACTCAAACTCTGTAAGTAGTCATAATAGGATATGAACAGTTAAGATCTGAGTGAGGTATAACAGGATCACGATTTACTGAAGGTCAGAACTGTATACAGAAGATCAAAACCAAAATACCACCAGATTGCTTCGGGACCTGTAGGAGCTGATACTGCCAGATATGTTTTCTGTTTCATGCTTCTAAAAACAAGGCAGACAGGCTGTCCTTAAAATCTCTTTGTCTCTCCTAATTCCTAATTTCCTAGACATCTTCCAAAATCTGGGTATAGAAAAAATTAAAAAAAAAAAAAAAAAAAGCAGTAAAGTTCATTCATGCCCCAATAAAGACTTCTGGCAAGGCTGTTAAGCTGTTAAATTATACCAGGAAGGTCTTGTAGGATGGGAAGCTACTTGGCAAAGACTCTGTAGATGAAACAGTCTACCAGAACTTGCTCATAAATAGACCTAGAAACCCTGCATCCAAACTTTGTTCCTCATTTACTATACAGCAAACTGCCCAGGGAGAATTAAAATGTATTCTGCCTCTTATCAAGCCCCCGAGAACAGCTGGTCACTTCCGTCACCTCTGGATGTGCACCCTGTGGACTGATTCCCACTCACCTGGTCAGCAAAAACCTCAATGTTTTCTTCCAGCAAGAAGATAAACTACTTGGCAGGAGGGAAGGAGGAGAAAAGCCCAAGCTTTACTGTTCTTCTGGGTAAAATCTAATCATCACTGGTGGTACAATTAGAGCTGGCAAAGAACTAGGGACAGGAGTGTCAAAGTTGCCCCCATTAGGTGCAGAAAAACTGGTAGAAAGCAAACGAGCCTGGTGGATGGCACAAGCTGGAAGGAGAGCAGTGGGGAGTTCATCGTGACCAGAAAGGACCTGCAAGCTTCAGTACCCTGTTGGGCCTGCAGTGGTCAGAAAAAGGTGCCTATGAACAACTGTGAAACGAGATTGCCTGGATCCAGAGCATAGTATGAAGACTCAGCAGGCACCAGGTTGTCTCCTAGTTTATTAGCGGAGACAAACATGGACAACTTAGAAGTGGTCTCATTTTTTAGGCCCGTTCTCGCTCTGTTTGCCTACCTTGCCTAGCTTCTGGTTACTTTTCTACTGCGTGTCTTACTGAGAACTCCCCACCCGTGCTATGCTAAGAGATGGCATAAGCGCACGGTGACTATCTCCTTGCAGAAACTCATTAAATAATAACAGGAGAAACCCTCACAGGCACACCTAGGTGCCTGTTACTTCTACTTAGGGGCAATTTCAAAGGCAGACTAAGGCGGCAGCCATCTATCCTAGCAAAAAACTGTATGCGCTAAAACTTTTACAAATGTGAAATTAGCCACCTGCAATAACTGTTGTAAAATTGTTAAATTAGTAACAGTGATTATTCTCATTTCTTGCTCAGAGACGATGGAACTAGCATTTACTAGCAGTAAAAAGGGCTCCTACATAGTCCAGAAAATAGGTTAAACCAAGTGTTGCTCCCGCAATGAAACCAGAAACTTTGCTGAACTCACTGCAGGGCCTCCTGCTTGCAAGGGCTTTAAGTGTCACCCTATATCCCCACTGGAATAGTACAAAAGCGAACAGGAAAGAGCGATCCATTTTTTAATGCCTGCTAAAAATTAATCTGGCATGAAAAGAATTACAAGTCACAAGATGCCACAGAAAACCGGAAAATGTTTAAGCTTAATAAACCCACAGTCCCTAACCCCATTTTTTTCCAGTTTGAGGTGTCGGTTCTTCAACATACATTTCCATGAATCCTCTTTAATTCATTTAACAAAAGCTCTCAATCAATAGCGAGCCTTCACTCAAGCATGTACTGTATCACAGAAGGATCCACTTCTTCTGCCATCAGACTGGCTTGCAGACTTTGGATTGTTGCTTTTCTCCCCAAACGCTGTCTCCACAGGACAAAGGCAGCTACGATCTGTGACTGCAGGTTGTGAGGGTGATTGACTTTACATCGATAGATGTCAGTATGGGACAAACCCAAGCACAGAACTATATGTTCCCATTCGGGTCCCAGCCTCCTTGCAAGCTTGTTCAGCTGCTGATCTGTTGGTGACGTCTTCAAAATATATGGTGCAATTTCAGTCGTATCTGTAAAAAAAAAGAAAAAGAATGTCACATGTCACTAGGCAATGCTGCAAATATTAATGTAAGGCCTTGACAAAGGAGGGAATGAGCAAAATTGAGGTGAAAGAATTAACTAATTAAAGAAACACAATACATACTTACCTAGAAAAATTAATTACATAATTAACCAGAAGATTAATTAGAGGAAAACAAATGCTCAGTGGACCATACGAGGGTGCCTTCAGGTTTTGGGTGTCAGTAATCCCGATATTAGAATTCTACTCCAAAGGCAAGACTTCCAAAAGTAATTATAGATTTTGGGATAGTGAACAAGAAAGGTTTTCAAGGAACACATTTCCAGCAGCCATCACCCTCTGACAATCAATCTGCTTGCACCAGTATGATACAGTGACAAATGGCAAATATGGGACCAATAATACCTTATTACTCCTACTCTGTGACTCTGTTTATACACTTCAGAAATAACTGTGATTCCTGAGTTATTAGGCATTACTCTATTTTTTTGCTGAGGGCTGTTTACAGGAAATTCTTCTGTCTCCTAAGATGCTATTTATGCTTTGTGCCCTGTCACATATGGCAAACTCATCTTGAGGAGACCAGCTTTGGGGGCTTTTCTTCTATTTGAATGAACCCATAAGCATGGTTCAGGTGAACCCAGATGAACAGGGCATTAACACTATTCCCCAATACAAATTATGCCTCCTTATCCCTCATCCCAGTTGCAGCAACACTCCTGAAAACAGGCATCTATGTGCTACAACCCCATTCATCTGGCCTCCTTGAAGCTGTTTTCAGGAGAGTGCAAGAAAGTCCCATGTTCTCTCAGAGATTTCTGCCCTACGTCTCTTGGTATTGCCCAAGTCCCCAGACGCACTCTTCATCCAAGAAGATGTTTAGCATTGAACAGGTACCTCAGTCACGGAGGACACGATCAACATAACTAGCAAAACAGTTTTCTCAGGTAGCATTAAGGTAGCTGTAATTATCAGCTGTAAAAATCATTTAGGGACTGAACCAAGTATTTCTTACAAACACAAGTGATCTCTTTGTGTATTCCCTATGGTAATCTTATCATTAAAAAAAAACCAAAACAAAGCATTATTACAAACAGTGTTAATAGCAGAGTGAGAATACAGTGCTCTTCAGAAACATGCTGTATAGGATCCATCTCACCTAACTACAGATAGCCCCTCCTGGACTAATTATACTAGGGTTAATTATCACTAAGGAGAGAAATAGGCTCTTCTAGAATACCATCCATGTGACTGAAAAGAAGACGTCTAAAATAATTAGATTAATCACTCCGCTAAACGTGCGCATTTCTCTCCATTGACTGTAAAAGGAGTGCTGGGTATAAGCTCAGATGTTGACGTGATGCTGTAAACACCCGGTGCTGGTGAAACAATTCTCTGCCTGTAAATTCAAACCACATATCAGTTGTTTTAGAAAGGTGCATTTAGAAAAGCAGCATAAGATACCTATAAAGCATATCTGCCCTTCCATACCCTTTGCGGTCACAACCTAAAATGAAGGGTCAATGCAGCCTGCAATTGCTTCTCTACTTTTGTTGCTGAAGATACTGTGTCAAAACAGAGCAAAAATATCCCCAAGAAAATGCTAATTATAGCCCGTCATCTGAAGCAGCAGACTCCCTACAGAAGAGCCTCTTTGCAAAATCTAATTTATAGCTCCAATATCATGCTCGCAGTCTCCTCTACAGCAGAACAGCAACACTAGAAAGCACCACTCCTTCATTTTATCAAAAGTAATTGTTTTTGCATAGAATACCCAGAGCCTGGAAACGTTTGTACAGTTTAAGCCCAATCATACATAAGTACTATACAAAGCTGCTTTGAGTAAAGGGAAAATTGCTTTCTGAAGAGTATTTAGGTCCCTTTGATCTTTCTGTCTCCAGATTGCCAAAGGAACCCAGGGCAAGTGGCTGGTTCGGGGACAGGGCAGAGGATGCACAGCTCCTGAAGGCGGCTGAGCAATACTGGTGGGGCTGCCCTACGCTGTCACATCACACGTGATACCAGCTCCACAGGTAAGTCAGGATGAGGGAGTGCCTTTCATGAACGCAAATATTTGAGAATAAATAAAATTTAAAGTGAATATAGCTACACTGTTCTGTTGCCAACACTGCTTTTTGATATTAAACCCTTGCATGGGCTTATGATCAGCTACGAAGCATAAAGCAGCGTGCCCAAAGGAGCGCTACCTGCCAGCCTGGGGTTTTTGCTCTCACATTGGAATTTTTATACTTCATGTTCACTAGAAAAATGATTTTATGATACTGAAATGTGATCAAGCAGGGAGGCCTAACAATAATACATGTCAGCTTGTCCATCCAGCCTTTGATATTAGGCAGATTTTTTTACTACAACAAGTATCTTGCCTTCAGCTTGTTATCAGCCCTTTAATAAGAGTAAGAATAAAACCCATCCAGGAAATCTTTTCATCTTATGCTACCATCTGATTTTAATATGGATGTGGAAAATTCTGGGACAGAGGCCAAATGTTAAATTTAATACAAAGGACTTATTTTAGTCACATTTTATTTTCTGTGATAGCTCTTTTTCAGCTCTGATACAAAGTCACTGAGGAAAACCTGAGACAAATATTATATGACGGGCAGTATTATTTAGAGGTATAGAGAAATATTTAGTGAGATCTTTTAGTTATGACAAATGCAAAATCACAAAAAGATTTGGCTATGTTCTAGAACTAATGCCACTCTTAATTTAATAAACGTAATGGCATTTCAGGTAAAAGGAAAATGAGTTTTCTGTGCTCAGCACCCAAGCTGCTTTGAACATATTGCAAAAACATTAAAGATGCCTTTTTTTTAGTTATGTTTACTACAGACCCTCACTTATAATCTCCATTTGTCAGGAAGTGCCTCAGGGACGTAATGAGATCAGAGCAAAAGCTTCAATTATGCAGATCCTGCAGTTGCATTTGAAAGGTACGTTTAGGATACTGAGACCTTGATTTTGCAAAAAATGTGAAGCTCCTCTTGCTTTAGGTGGACCCGATGTGGAGGTGTACGTGTTTATGTTAGGTACATGCTTCAGCTTAGCAAAACGAGGACTGCGTTGTTAGAAACGGGAAGAAGCAGGGCTTGGGGCACCACCAGAGGGTGTTGAGGGCTTCCCCAGAGAAGGCGAATTGCGGTGCTGTCATCTCCAGTGAGCACATCGAGAGAAACACCGTGTCCAGCTGTGGGCACGGTCTACACTGCAAAGTGCCAGGGCTGCATGCTGCAGAGATTTAGAAGCTGAAGTCTCGTTGCTCACGCCGAAGCCCCTCAGTCCCTCAGGAATGGGAAGCTGACAGCTTTGTGCTGGGGAGTGAGCCAGCCTGGTGCAGAGCTGCTCTCTTGGGACCGCTGGCCAACTTGCTGGCATGGCGCTTGGGACCATGAAATCCCCCAAGCTGGAGGTGGGGAGCACACAGTCCACGCTGGTTTTGCAGCTGTAACCAGCCCAGAAAAAGACCCGCAGGTCCTTCTATTCAAAGTTGCAGCACAAGGGAACATGCTTCTTCCCATCTCCAGCTCTCACTGGTCAAGGAAGCTCATCCACTCTAAGCCTTTTTCTTAGTCGTCCCAGTTAAAAAACAGGAGATGCTGACAACTTCTAACCTGTGTGTACATCTGTGCTTCCAGACCACTGCACAGACTGGAAGATATGAAGGTCCTGGTGAGTATGGACAGGAAACAGAACTGGATATAAATAGACAGTGTCACAGACACGTACCAGACAAAACAGAGTAACCCAGATAGCGAAGCTATATATGGGGCAAAGGCGGCCGGTCACCACTTTTGCATTTCTTTTTCTTCAGGACCTCTCCAGCTTTAAGTAGGAGACTCCAAGAAGATATTGCAACAATCAGGGGGATGGAAAATAAACTCACCCCAGCTCTGTCCCACTTGGCACAAGTGGGAGGATGGAAGATGAAGTCCAGTGAAAATGGGCTTTGAATCACTTGAAGACTTTTTTTTTTGCTTTTGCTTTCTCATCACCATCTCTAGGTGATGAAAAAAGCTGAGATCATCTCTTAGGCTGTCTTGCACCATGGGAAAATCTTTATCAGTATCGAGGAACGGACATCCCGCTCTCCGTGCTTCTGGAAGGCAGCGGGGAGCAAGCGAGCTTGGCTCCAACACAGGACACAGCAGCAAAAAGTGCTGAGGCATTTTTGAGTGATCTGCAAAGTACCCAGCTCATTCCCCAGAACTGCCATCAGCCCAAAGTATCTTACGGTTTTCGCTAAAGGACCCTTCTCCATGTAAGTATGACTTCTCCGCATGCCCAAAAGCATCTGCTGGAGTTTCAGGGAGTCTTCTCCCTTATGCAGTCAATACATTTTTATGTGATGCAACACAAAAACAACTTTTTGGCTTTTGCTCTTTGCTGTGTAAAAGGGACTTTGATGGAATGATGTACCTGAATCCAAAGTGCTGAAAGAAGTCTCAATCAGCTGCCGCCTAATCCTGCAAGGACAACTCCACAGGCAGTCCAGGGGACAGTTGGGGAGCCAGGGATACAATGGCCCACTTCTTACCTAATAACTATCTAATAAATTTGTCCCTTGGGAAAGGATGTTCTGGGGACTGATCTCTGACAACAGTGCTGCTTCTGTATTTTATCCATTTAAATGACCATGTACACACTCACTGGATAAGAAGACAGAAGCAGCACTGGAAGAGGAGATGGGAATCCAGGTCTCTCTGAGATGCATATCTTAATGCTGAGGTGCAGAGTCATGCTCCTCTTCATTCCCTTTCTCCTGATAAATCATTCCAGCAAAAAATAGAGAGACTTCCCTGGGAAGGCTCAAGAATGCTTCCCAGCCTCTCAAATGGAGCCTGGTGGAGAGAAAACTCTTCTTGGAACCAAGGGGTATGCTGAAACAGAGCACAATTGCATGCAAGAGCCCTTGGCAGAAACAGTGTTAGGCAAATGCTCTAACTTTTATATAATCACATCAGAAACAGA